GAAAACAGACTTACCAGCAGCCCCAAGATAATAGTATAATAGTTAACTAATTTTAAAATACCCCCAGTAGATGAATGTAAAGGAGATTCCTTGAGCATTGTTATACTTCATAATTTGTTTTTTTGACCATCAACTAACCAAAAAAGCTGATTCAAGCGTACCATTTTTAGTGCATAAGTTGGACTCAACAGTCTTATCCCATCTATTTGGGTAGGTTTGTTAATAAGTTGTACTACAACACATATTTCCATTATAACAAATACTTCCCAGTCACTTCCTAAATTGCTAGGTGACAGGTGAATGACGAATTAGTTCCCACTGAAATGCTTCACTAATGAATTCCCTTTGGTACAATGAACACAGAAACTTCAAAAATCCTATTCAACCAATTACAGTTAGTAACATGTGGGTTTATTCATAATGAGCTTTTATTAAAACTGCTCCATATAAAGAATCTTAACATAAATATAATCATGTAAATTTTTACCAATGCATAAAAAGTAAACAAAATAATAATAAGGGTGTATTAATATTATAAGATATGTTATACATATTTTATATTCCATCACACACATAAAGCAGCAACTAAGACTCACTACTATCTTATCATTGATAAAGCAATATATATGAACTAAAACAACCAGAATTATTGACTAGAAAATCCTTCCATTGATTGTTGAGTCAGAATYCAACTAAACCAAACATGGAATGGAATTAGGTAACCATGTTCTTAACGTTATCATTTCCTAATTTGACGTCCAAATCCAAGCTTACACCATATTCTGCTGCATGTTACTCCTTCCCTCTTACAGGGTAACAAGAACTTACTAGATTAATTCCAAAGCTATAACTAGTTCTAGAGAAGTTCTCACCTTTACAAGTTTACATCTTTGATAATTCAAGGGAATGAACCTACTAAAGAACATCTTGTCACCCTCACCTGCAAACCTAGTAACTAGTAATCCCCACTTATCCAGCACAAAAGCTATGAACCTTCCACACAAGATGTCTCCCCACTCCACATGTGGTAATGTTTATAAGGCAATTGCAAATTATAAAATATAACAGAATACGCAAACAATATTTACCTAAAACCAACAAATATCAAGACAATACTGAAATACCATCAACAAGCCGGTTATATTATTAAACTCTACTACATATTATGTTGGAGTTTTGTATAAGCCTATACGAGCTCCATTGGCCTGCCTTATGTCAAACCTGATACTCCTCGCAATCACAATTGATACTTCCCCATTCTACTTAATGCACCAGCTACACCATTAAAGCAGTAGCAGATGCTGCTTACCTTAGAAAGAGAAATAAAATACCCATTAACGTCAATTTCCAAGACAAATAATTAATTGGAATAACTTTATCTACGATACGTCGATAAGATCATTCTTATTGCATAAAATACCAAGACCAAAAAGCCCTATTGAATGAATGATGGTATAGGATTTTGCASTCTTAACCAAAGTAAAAATGTCTTGTGCCTTTATGCTTCTGAAATACAATTTAGCAGCTGTTAAATACTACTGGCCACTGGGAAGTAGCAAGGTTTTGCATCCAGAGTGACACCATGAAAACTGATAAAAGCGAAAAGAAGAAGAAGCCCCTATCAGATGAGCGAGACCATACCCATGAGCGAAGCCTCTAATAGGTGAGTTCTCCAAAGGACCTGATCCATAGGTGTCACTGTACCGAGCTTTGTTCCCCTGTTCTGGATCTTAAGGAGGCTGGTAATGCTAGATGCAAGGATGACCGACATCGTGCCAGCAATGGTTTTTACAGTGGCTGGGCCCTTTCCTGTCTTCAGCTGGTCGAGGGCCTTCATTACCAACTCTCTCAACGGCCCGATCTTCACCATGAGAAGAAATGCCACAATGCCTTCGGCAAAAAGAACCAGGAACAGTAACTGAATCATCTCTGCGCGAAACGAACTTCACTACCAGCAGTAAAAGTTCTGAAGTCTCCTAGGAATGGAGCTCAATCGTCATTGTTCCCACGCAGAGACAATAAAGAAATAAAGAAGACCCACTTCTCAAAACTCACTTTTACTTCTAAATATAAGGATTAAGGACAAAGATAGGCAGATTTAGCAACAAATCAAAAGCTACAAGCTTTTCTACAGAAAACCCATTTCTCCTTTTCATAGGCTTTCTCTAAGTACCTTGGAGTTTTCTGGGCAGAYAGATAAATTTGCAGGTGGGTTCAAAAGCAGGAAAATGGCTCAAGGACAGAAGGGTGTGAGTGAAAGTATGAAAGAGATTACGGTGTGCTTATCGATGCATTAATCGAGTGTGGCAAGTGGGAGAGATGATGACTGAAGTAGAGAACAGCAACAGTCTCCTTTTTCTCTTCCTAAAATTGGCTTTTGCTTTGCCCTTTTCTACCCTTGAAATTAATTTAATATCTGCTAGTACTAAATCAATGCCCCTGAATCCCTGATGAAATAGTACTTCCTTATTCCCTGTATTATTTGTGGGGAAGCGTGGRCAAGCATTGATGGTACTAATGCAAATTTCCTATTTGGAGAGGAGAAAGTAATTTGCAATGKWGGGTCACTTGGACCATTGATGGGATCTTCTTTATATTGTACATAATCATCATCAAAGCGGCAAAGATAAAAGATTAAGGGATAAGTATACTGCACTCCACACATCAATTCCCAGTTGGCGCCTCCCTCAATTATACAGTAAATATAAGATTTGTTGGATGGGCTGTACAATAAAAAACCCAAAAAATTAATTGATAGGATATATTATCTTGTCACCTAATTGCTTAAATTGGCATTTAGGGTTCAAAATAATTTTTTTTATAAATAAGCTAATAATATAATAATATATTTGGCATGAGTCATATTGATGTGCACCATTATATTTAAATTCTTCTTGGTTAATAATTGGATTTACAAGTTTGATTACATAAATCTTTTCATATATATGCGTTTGTGATTGGTTGTAAGTGACGCAAGCCGAGACGAGTCATAAGTTAGGTAAGGGTGCAAGTCAGGTTGGGTGTCGGTTGGATCAATTTCTCTATTTATTTTTTTCAAAATATTTTTATTTTTCGTATTTAAGATCAGTGGATTAAGCTCAACTCACATC